GTCACAGTGATGTTTGGAATTAACAGTCCAGCCCACTGTGTAAAGTTAAATATAACAAAGAGGCAATAAACAAGAAAGTGGCAAAATCTAAATTAGAAATCTGATATTCTGGCATGAAACACATTTTCTAAGTGTTTAAAAAGCCCTCTAAGTCCACAGATTTTAATTTTCTCAATTTCATCTGGATTTTTTTTTTTAGCTGATTGTTTTAAATTACAGATGATCGCATAGTCCTCGTTTTCTACTTCTGTTGAATAAATTCCCTGGCCTTCCAGGAGTCATAAAGAGAGTGAATCTCCTCTTTCTCTCGTGGATTTAACCATGTAGTAAACCTGAGCCCTTATTTTTAACCAGCAAGCGATCTCTCTGATGGTCTGCTGAGACTTCTGCGCACACCATAGTATTTGCTGAGAGAAGTACTCTCTGGTACTGCGTGCGTGTACGTGTTCGTTTGTGCTGTGTGTTGTCTATCAGACAACTGAAGAAACCATGAGCGCAGGAGAGCGCAGGGTTATTTTCAGAATCTCTCGTATATTGTACCAGTCCTCTAACCTTAGGGGCTCAGAAGTTAACGGGAACTGCGTCTCTGCTAGCCAAGTCCTTTGTACCGTATGGAAGATTATACATCGAGCATGACATTCTTCTGGCTATCTTTCTTTTATATTTACATGGAAATTAAACCTTTTCCCCCCCCCCATGAGAATAGCAAGATGAAAAACTCCAGTTCTGTGTCCAGGGTTTGTGATATTCGTGGATGTGTGTGTGTTGTACGCTGCCTTCTGCCAGAACTCCCAGCGTCTTAACTGCTTTCTGCGGTGGGAGGAGGTTTTGGTGAACAGAGCTTTAAAGCCAGTTCCTCAACCTTCCTTTTAGCGCAAGCTTTAAATCACATTGCTGGATTTGTAGGTTAACATATAGCCTGGTTGTCACTCCCTTCCTTATATTTAATGATTGATAGTGAATAAAGTCAGAGCTCTGCGCTCTCTGTCAATCACCACCCCTGTGAACTCGTGCAGGAGCAAAGGACTCGGGATAATTGGCAGAAGTTCATTTAAAAAGATGATATTGAATCTCCTACATATCAGCCAAAATATTATTTCTCTAGAAATGGGTGTTTATTTTTGTAGGTTAGGATTTGGCATGTCTTGTTTTATTTTTTTTTCAGGTTAATTAATCTTTCTGCCTTTGTATCGCAGCTACCAGTCATTTCTCTCTGCTGCAGATGCCAGCTTTGCACCCAGCCTTGGTAGGAAAATAAACCCAGCGACTCCGAATAATGGAATGTGTTCATTTGAGTGTTTATATGGGCAGGTGTTTCCTTTCATTTGTCCTTGTTTTAAAGGAGTGACTGACAGCGCCTCGCGAAAGAGCGGAACCTAGCTTTGCTTCTAGTCTTACTGCTGGTGTTCACGGGTCCAACTGGGGAAGTGTATCCCAAAGGAAAGACGTGAGAAACAGTTCAGTGTCTGTCATCTCCCTGGGTGGGTAAACACATCCACGCATCAGGAGCCAGTCTGAAAGCCACAGTCACTCTCCTCTGATTTTTGTTCTCTTGACATAGGTTTTCTTGATGCTAACCTTAAAGCTCGCTCATCCTGTTTCCATAGAAATTCCTGTTTGCAGAGCAGCCCCAGCTGCCTCTTGTCTTCTCGCACGTGCCGCCCGAAACAGAGGAATGGTCAGCTGTGCTGTGAGATAAAAGAAATGGACTTAATACAGTAAAAAAAAAAAAAGATTTGAAAATAGCGTTGAAAAGCGAACTAGTTCTGGATTCGGTAGAATGGAGATAAAGGCAATTTTTCTGATCTTAAAAAAACATTGAAGAGGAGCTAGAAATGAGTCTGTCATTGAAATGAGCTTCTGAGTGCAGAGGGGAAATCAGATAAAAGTGTCAGGACTTTTAACAGTGGAAGTAGAAATGATCAAGAGCCACTTCTCTGCTATAATATTTGGCTTAAAGAAATGCAAGGAAGTACCTTTCCACATAGCACTCAGAATGCATTCAAAATGCAGCAAGGCCATTAGGAAGATTAAATGAAAGAAAAATACTTCAGGGCAAAACGAAAAAGGTGTGTGATTAACTGTGTTACAGATGAGTGTGTCCATTTATGCTTCATTATTTTTAAGAAAAACATGTTCTTTGACTGTATTCCTCTTCCCCAACCCTTCAAATGTTATTTTTGGTTGGGTAGCCTTTCAGGAATAGAAGCAGCTGTGTATGGTTGTACTCGGTGTTTGGCTATTACGGTGTATGGACTAAATAACCTGACTCAGCTAGATTCTATCTAGATATTGCAGATAATGCCCGATAAGACATGTAAAGAACCATTTCAGTAAGCATCAAAGGATGTTGAAGTGCTAGGAACTTTAAATGATGCATCTTGAATCAATAGTATTTATGTACTTAATGGTTCAGAGAGAACTTCATCAAACTCCTAGGTTTTTTTTTTTTCTCTCTTTCCTTGTTCAGGCTGTCTTCTCCCATGCCACACCGCTTGTTCAGAGGAGCTCTGCCTCCCTCCTATCTGGCGCTGTACTTCCTCATCTCACCAGTTTTCTCTGTGCCAGTCTCAGGCTATTTGCTCTATGCAAAGTGCCAGATGTGTTGGCAGGCTGGTAGGAATTATTTTTCTGGGTGATAAGGAATAGTTTAGCTTTTATGCCCTCAAGTAGCTGCAGTGAGACAGTAGAGTTGTGGTTAGCTTTACTCATGCGAGTTCCACTTAATGCAAAATTATTATAAAGCAAATTCCCTTTTTGTTGAAGCTTTTAAAGCAGGAGGAAAATGCAAGACATAATTGAACGTGAATCTAGTGTTCATAGGTCAGAATAACAAGATAGTGTCTTTTTTCGAGGCTGTTAGCAATAAAAGATGAGTTTCATGCGGTGGAAACAGTATGTTCTGGACTTTGTGCCAGTTAAAAAAAAAAAAAGAGATTATTTTGCAAATTGAAAAAAATCTTTTGTTCATGTAGGTTGATCGCATTTGTTAAACATGACTGCAGGTGAAAGGTGTTCCGTAAGCAGTAATGACTCTTCGACATAATTCTGTGAATGGGTAAGGCAGTAAGATTTTGGTAGGAAGTAGAATCATTTACTCAGGCTTCCTAGAATTTCTTTGGAAAACTTACACATTTATCCAGAGACGTTTTTGCTTTGCCAGCTCTGCCCAAATTTTTATAAAACAGTCAATTTATCTTCAGGAACAGACTGTTGTTTTCCCTGATAATGTTAACCAGACTTGCGGCGAGGCTAGACACAGTGGCATTCAAAACAAGTCATAATTAATCTGAACCACCTTATTTTTCAGATGACACCTGGTACTGTGAGCAGAAAACAGCTAGTGTGCCCCATGACATAGTTCAGGATAAAAAGTAAGGTTCAAATAAAATATATAGTAAAAAAAAATTGCAAGTGTATAAAAATATATTCAGAACAGAGCAGTAAGTTCTCATTTCAACAGAAGAAACTTTGAGAGACTAGCTGCTACGTACATCAGCAATAAATATTTTTCCTTACCAAGTATGATAGTTGATAATCTGATGTTTATAGTGATATATCAGTATTGCGTAATCTAACATTTGCTTCATACTGTCATTATTCATCGCAGTAAGCTTGCATCTAGCATGTGGTATGACTCAACCCAAAGGTCATGTTGGAAAAGTGTTTTTTAGTCTTTGAGTTGCTTTTGTGTTATATTTTATTGCATGCTTTTGGCTTGTAGCCTAGTAAAATGCAGGCTGCGTAATCCATGCCAGTATTTGGAAATAAAGATGCTGCTTGCTCAGGGGTCCTGGTCAATGTGAAAGGATAAGCTCCGCTGTCTGAACTCTGTCACCCTGGGCTGTGACTAGCAGGGTTATGGAAACCGGGAATTTGTGACTTTGTATATACCGTGAAACTCTCCTTGAAAGGCATTTAAGGAAAGATAAATCTTGTAAGTGAATGACTTGTCCACCTTTCTACCATTCTGAAGGTGTGTGAAAGAACAAGGAAACGCTGTAAAGCTCTGGGATGGAACCGCTGAGTGATCCCTAAGTTGGGAAGCTTTGTTTCACTCCACGGGATTGAGCAAACGTAGAAATCAAATCCAAATGGTTTGTGTCATGAACATTGAAATAGTACTGGACAGTTGTTCTGTCCAGTTCCTATTATCATGGTCTAGATTTGTACAGGAAATCTTGTTTTTTATCTGGAATGAAAGTCTTGTCCTAGGTCCTGTGTTGCATCCTCCACTCCAGCAGGGCTTGGTCATCCTTATGAACTCTCTTCTAGTTTCTGGTTAGTCTTGAATCCACTAACTTTTGGCGTTGTCTGCAAAGATGAATTTCAAGCGAGGGCTTAGTATTCCTCTTAAAATGAATAGTTTTTTTCCCACCAAACTGAGAGGCTGGGACAGAAATAAAAAAAAATTCTTGATATATAAAATGTGCGTGTGTATGCAGAAGAGAAGTTGGGTACAGTTCTGCTGCTGGTGACCTTACACTGGAATAGAAGGGAAGATGCACTTGGCAGATGATTAGCGATTGATTCATTATCTTTACGCTGGGCCTGGTAAACTCTGTGTTTAGGAAGTAATGTAGACTACTTTGAGAATACTGTGGGTTTGCAGTAATCTTCATTTTTAGGGGATGGCTGACTTGATGAGTGAGAGAACACTGTGAATACAGTGTGCTTGTTCAGCTGTTGGCCTCTGGTATGAGACACTTTAAAAAGATATCTGAGAGTGAGTTAGGCATCCAGACTGATTGCACCAGTTCCTCGTGTAGGCCAGAACATTAATGGCAATAATTTTTGGTCAACATTGGTGTGGATTTGAGAATAATTTATCTGTAGCAAATCTTGTGAGCCTACTAGTCATGCCAAATTTTAAAGAACTTGACGGAGACTATGAAGAAAACTGGAAGAGCTCATGATGACTTAAGAAGTGTTGACTGTAACTTGAACCTGATTATTTAATTCTGTGCCACAATTAAAATTTCCACAATCTCTGTTTTCAGAGGATTACCCCAATGGGACATGGCTCGGAGATGAAAATAATCCTGAGATGCGGGTCCGTTGCCCCATCACCCCTGCTGACATGCTGCACATCAGCACGAACTGCCGCACAGCCGAGAAGATGGCACTGACATTGCTTGATTACCTCTTCCATCGGGAAATCCAGGCCATCTCCAACCTTTCGGGCCAGGGGAAGCACGGGAAGAAGCAACTTGATCCCCTCATGATTTATGGAATTCGCTGTGAGTATAATACTGCAACTTTTGAGTTTATACTGTGTAGGTAGGGCAGAAACTGTCTGCTACTTGCAGTTAAACTGTTTTTTAAGAACAGGGGTCTGTCTGTATTGTTGTTACCAGACAGATGTTGTGTTAGCTTTTGTTTCTGAAGGAATCCTAATGGGCTGGTTTGGTTTGGTTTGTTGTGGGTGTTCACCAGAAATTCCTCAATCTTGAAATCTGAATTCAGATTTCTTTGCAACTATCAGCTGTGAGTGCACCAAGTGTAGCAAATATCAGAGAAATACTACTATCTCAGATAATGGAGCAAAAAATAAATTACACTAATTTGAATATTGTTTGAGTGTTCAAAACAGTATGGTATTGAATCTCCATTTTTTACTTTCTGTTTATATGTATTATTTCAAAAGACTTGCTGACATTGAGATGGAAAAAATTTGCAATCTCTACTAAAGGAGAGATTAAGTATCACAAAGTCTGTGGATTCATAACAGGAATGCATGCGATGCTGATGTTCTTCTGTCTGCTCCAGTCTGGTTATTAAAACTATTATGCAGTAATGGACAGTTATTACTTTCTATTGAAGATGCAATTTTTGTCAGTTTAAAAGGAATCAAATGTGTTTTGCATATGGAATAGATACAGAATATAGCAGACATAGCCACTAGTTTTAAGTGAAGAGAAGAATCTGGACATATGCATCTTGCTCTGATACGGTGACTTGTAGTAGAGGATTACTCGGTGAGTACTTTGAGGACAGCCAGGTCTGTTCCATGCGCTGTAGTGTAAATGTTTTCCAGTAAAGGAGGTGGGCGAACGCGTCTCAAACAGCCAAGTGTCTGACACAAGTGTTACAGCTCTCGTGTGATACCTTTGCTATGCATGTAAAGAGGAAACACAATTATTAGTGTGGAATTAAGAGAGAGTCTAAAAGTCACCCACTTGACTAATTGAACTGGATTTTCCTATACCACTAGATCTCGCTGTTAAAAGATTCTTTATAGTCGCATCTTATGTAGGTCACCAGTGGATTAGTAGAGTGGGAGTAATCTGTTATACTAGTGTTCTGTATGAAGCTGCCAATTTGAAATGCCAGTTCAGGCTTAAGGACATAGAGCTTATTTTGAATGGTGCTTGAAGAATTTGATGTTTTGTTTTTAGACTTCTGTTAGGGCAATGTGTTTGATAGTTACACGGATGAAAATGTGAAGAATATTTGAGGATGAGACTGCTGTGCTTTCTTGACCCTGAACTGAGCTGAGGAAATACACTCCTCTTGATCTGCTTTTGTTTCTAGTCGTTCGCTGGCTATCTCGGGGAAGCTGCTGGGCAGAACTAACCCCTTCAGTTTGCTGCATGAGGGCAATTTTTGTTGCTTACCTGAAGCAGAAGACTCTAGGCCTCTACTGCAAATATATTAAATAGGTATTTTTAAGGGAGATTGTGCTTCAAAGTAATTTTGATCTCCAAAACCTTTTTATCTGTTGATCTCATCAGTGTAAATGACCTTGTTCCATTGTGGTTTTAGAACTTAGATTTTTGTTGACCATAGGTTTTAGAAAGATGAAGAAATAATTCTCGCTCCAATGTTAAAGCAAGTCACTAGCAGCCCTTTACCCCATCCCTTAAATCTGTGAACACAAATCAAATGAGTGAGTTTGTAACTATTTGTGTAGGAAGAGCAGGTTTGTGAGAATGCGAGCATGGGGAAGGAATGTGCTCAAGCTAGGGATTATGGCATTCATATGAGGCATTCTGACTGTGAAGAAACTGGATTCTAGAAGTGATTGCTGCAGTTGGAAAAGGTCTGCAACGGCAGAAATGGACCAGCAGTGGGTCATTCTGATCGATGGGCACAGGAACCACTGTCTGTGTCTTGATGTCTGTCATAGGTGTGGTTCGGAGGTTTGGGATCCAGGTGTCCGAAACGTCTTTATTTCTTCTTCATGTTGACTACTTTGCTGCTTTCTTTTGGGAACCAGTCCATAACAAACTCTAGGGATTGTGTATGCCTTCTGAAAAAAATAGAACCCGTGTGAATTTGACCAGAATTTACTTTTTTGGGTACCTAATTGTTAATGGTTATTAAGATTCACGATTAGCAATGACAATGAATCCTGTCGCAGCAAAGGAAGAAAATGCATGAACTTGATGAAGCAGCAAATTTAATAGTAATGACACTGGCCCAGGAATGATGATGTCATGTAATATGACATCACTGCAAATAATTAAGTTGAAATTAAATTTGATTTTGGTAGCCTGTTTATGAATTTGCTATGATGGGAGTGTGCACATGGATAACTCCTGACTTTCGAGGATGAGATGCTGGCCATGTTCAGTTCGGTGGCAGAACTCCTTTTGAGGTCGGCTGTGCCACGATTTCATCTCTAATATTTGTCAGAGAGGTGCTGGGAAGAGCCCTGGCATGCCATAACCACTTTGTCTTACCAATCCACAGACCATCTGTTTTCTATTGGTGAAGTGTTGTTCCATAAAATCTATCAAAAACCGAGCGCAGCGCTAGCATGGGAACTAAATTAGGATGTTGTCCTAACAATGTGGTTTGCTTCTGCTCTGAGCAGTAATACTTTGATGCATTATTTTAAACTTAAATGAAAAATCTAATGTCATCAGCCTCGCATTTGCCAATCATAGCTAGAAAAGCTCAAGCCAATAGGAAGGATTTTGTTTTTCCTTTTGTTTCCAGTTTCTTAAAGTTTGTCAGTGGAAAGATATTCCTTTTCTTTTTTTTTTTCTAGAAAAAGAAGACTAACCAAATCTGTATTTAATAGAGAGAATATTTCATATAATATGCAGAAACTATAGAAAATGAAGAGATGTTTATTAAAAATTCTTGCTATACTGCATAAGGTTTACTGCAAGAGAGATGAAAGATTATCTTTGGAAGTATAAATTTTCACTTGCGGTAGAAATTTGCTTGTGGGGTAGCAGTGGTATTGAAGAGAGTTTTTGGGCAAGAAACCAAAATGACTTAAGCATACCATATGTCATTAAGTAGCTCATTACTGCAGCCCTACTGAAAATGTAGACATTTTCTGGTGAAATATGAGAACATCCACAGTTATAATTTTCTTTGTGTAACAGAAAGTACAGGTCTCTTTTGAGATTTTACAGCAATCTCCACAAATAAGTTTGAGAACACAGATTTCCAAATTCAGGATTTTGCAATTATAAGAAACTTTATAGCACAAAGGGTGATTTTACATGTCATCTTGGAAAAAAAAATTAGAAGGGATTTCTGAAGTTTATCAAAGAAAAGTTATCAATAGTTCTTATTGTTTAAAATAATCTTGAGTAATTAAATGAAAACAAAATACCATTAGTTGCTTCCTGGGTGTGTAACGTTGTTAGTGTGTCAGTGCTGTGGAAGCCTCTTGCATCTTATGAGTTAACATTTATTTCATCCAGAATACATCCCTGTTATTGTTATTACTATAACATAGGAAAAAAAGTGTTATCTGAAAATACCTTATGATAAAGTCTGATTTTTAACTGTATGGTAAATGATGTATATTCTGTTTCAAATGGCAGATGACTTGACTTTTCAAGATGCAATTAAAAACCTAGAGTAGAAGGAAATTGGTAATCAAAGCTTGCTGTTTCTATTGGGTCATAATATTGCTTCCAGGAAAGATGGGACCACCTTTCTGCCGTACTAGTTGAAAGAGACGTTAATAGACTTGGAAGGAGGCTGTTCAAATCGAGTTAAGCGCGGTACTGCTTCACAACATTCATTGACACCATACTGCTTGAGCAGCAGACCACCCAGGTTTGTTTAATAGGAAACACATTTGACTCCTTGATTGTGTAATGTCTGTCAGATCAGTGTGTGTCGGTATGTGTGTATATTCGTGCACATAACCCAAACATCATGCAGGTTGAGCCAGTTTGAGCAACTTGTAACTCGTGTTGTGTAAAATCTATGGATCGCAGCAAGTCCCTACTGTTCCAGCTTCTCATTTGCTTTTAATAAAGGTTTTGATCTTAATAGCAATGCAGGATAAACAAGAAATATACCACGCTTCTGTTCTGTCTTTTTTAAGTATGGTCATGGTTTGAAATACTGGAGGAAGGGTAGGAAGAGGAAGGGTAGTAAGTTGCTTCTCATAGACAAACTGTTATCTCTACTGTTGCTCGCCAGTGGATCTGTTTTATGAGATGCTGCAGACTGCTGCTGTTATATAGGATGTTTTATGTAAACATTGCAGTTCCTGAAAGTGTACACTATAAATACAGAATGTATTGAGTGTTTTCTGGGGTTTTTTTATTCTTCTGCTTTAAAAAAGCCTTTTTTATTGCTGCATTTTTATAAACGATATCCATTTTTCCTTTTATCTCGTTTTTTCCTTCCTCATATTTGTGTGCTTTTTTTGCACTCTCTCTCTGTCTTTCTTTTACTTCCTGCGTATAATGCTGGGCTTCATGTGTCTCATTTCTGGATATCGTGCTCGTCACTAACTGTCAGTGTGTAGTGTATATACAGTGGTATATAGGAGACTGTTGGAAAACTTCAAGAAAAATTCAAAGTTTTTCAAATTCACATTTTATCCTCTCTCTTTTACAGTGGTTTAAAGCAGGGTCGCTCCAAGTCCTGGTTATCAGCCATTGTAGACGTGCATCTAGACCTTGGATTCCATCAGGAGACTGTTGGAAAACTTCAAGAAAAATTCAAACTTTTTCAAATTCACATTTTATCCTATCTCTTTAATATTTAATCAGCACTAGAAATGGATTAATTTCTGTAACTTGGACTATTGTGACTACATTGCCAATTGTCATTTCAGTCCATCCCCCTGCCAGACCAGCCAACTCAGGACTCGGTCATGCTCTGGATACTCTGGGGGTCTGGGGAGAGGAGGAATGGGTTAGTGGCAGTGCGCAGGCTAGTAATTTGTTGAAGATCAAGATCTCTGATGTTTTCTGTTTAACCCGTGCTTCTGTTTCCTCATCATATAGGTCATTAACTAATCTTCCAAGCTCTA